TCCAAGAGCCAAGATTCCCACAAGACTCCTGGCTAAAATCTTGGAAATACCAAGATCCAAGATCCAAGATTCCCACAAGACTCCTGGCTAAAATGTTGGAAATACCAAGATCCAAGATCCAAGATTCCCACAAGACTCCGGGCTAAAATCTTGGATCTTGGTTTTGGGCAGGATGTTCCCAAATCCAAGATTTTCCACAAGACTTCTGTGCAAATCTTGGATCTTGGATCTTGGTATTGGGCAGGATGTTCCCAAATCCAAGATTTTCCACAAGACTTCTGTGCAAATCTTGGATCTTGGTTTTGGGAAGGAACGCATTCTCTGGCATTCTCTGGTAGTGACAAAATTGCACTAAGTACATTTTGATCCTGGAATATTACTGATTACCGACATTTTGTTCCTCATTCAATTCTAATTAACAACTAACTCAACTCTAATTTTACTTCCATGAATTTTAGTGCACATACAGTTTAACTAAATTCTAAGTCAATTCTTATTACAATTTAAAACCACTTGTATTTCTATTTAAATTTTCTACTTTAAGCCTAAGTTGAGCCTAATTGAACTCATTTAAGTCTATTTAGCTTAACTTCATTGTATAGACAAATTCTAATTCAGTGTTTATTCTAATTTACTCATTTCCATTATAATTCTAATTATGTTTGGCTATTTTAGACCTAATGGAATTCAAACTTGAATAATTGAATCTGCAACGTGCTTCTGCTTAAATAGAAGATGATCCTAATTGAACTTTATATAGTTGAAATCAAATTGAGATTGCAAATTAGATCTAGTTCAATTCTAATTGAACTTAGATTCCAATTAACTTAATCCTAGGTCAATACTGTTCTACTAACCAAGCTCTAGGTAAAACAACTCTAATTCAATTCTACCTTAGTTCTAAGTCAATTTCAATTTAAGTAATGGATTCTTATTCAATGTTTTTCATTCAACTCTAATTTAATTCCAGTCTACTTCTAATTTAGTTCTATGTCATTCTATTTTGGGTTCAATTGTAACTTTGACTCTTCCGAGTTACTGGTAATTATTGTCTAATGTTAATGCCTTTTTACAGTTCAGATTCAATTGTTTTACACATCTAATTCTACACTATTGTCATTGCAAATTAGGTTTGGTTTCTATTTCTATATGTCTAATTTAATCCTATGAATTCTAATTCAGTTTTGGTGTCATTCTAGAGCGTGGGTGTTGCTGGTGGTGAATTTAATTCATTTAAGAAAGCAAACGCTTCTATATTGGAAAAAACTACATAAAATCTCACATGTTCTAAGTAACACCACTTCTCTAGAAGTAAATGAGAATTTCACTCAAATTAAAACTAAATTGAGCAAGAATACACTATTAGAATTGAATCTGACTTGTATAGCAATGAAGTTAGAATTAGCTTGAAACCAAATTAGAATTAGGCTTGCATTGAATGCCAAGTAAATTAGAATCTATAGTGATAGACATTGGAATCAAAATAGAAGTCACAAATAATTAACATGGACTCAAATTTGAATTTGAATATACAAAGTAAAGTAGAGTTGAATAGGTTGGAATTTAAATTTACTTAGAATTAAACCGTAATTCAACTATTTAGGGTTTGCAATTCTTTGCCTTCTGATTATGATGTACTTGCTCAACTGCATTCAATAAGAGCAGTACAATTCACACCCTAAAACAAGACATATGCTTTTGCCTGGGGTTGCAATGAATTAGATTACTCCATCCAAGAACTGTTTAGTAAACACATAACCTTATGGATTTGGACATTTTTGTAGTACATAGTTAAATGAACAAATATGCTTACCAACTGCACACCAGCACTCAGAAACATAGGTTTTGGGGGGGGGCTAGCGTATATATATATATATAGAGATATATATAGACATATATAAGTGAACGCACAAATGTGTATTTAGGTCAAGAAGGAAGCGCGCAAGAAGAAAAAGAAGCTATCGAGGTGGGTGGGGTCTGCTGGATCTCAAGAGACACACGCCTCCCTTTCACCCTTGGTCGAACACGATCTCAATTGCCGCTAGAGGCGCGCATCTCCCTTTTCTGGAGGAGTTCCAACCGCTTTTCGCGTCCCGGTGTCACCTTTTTCCTATCATCCACATGAACTCCCACCCCCGTAGAAGACGGTTGTCATTGCCTCCTGAGCCCCTCATGATGCTAGTGATGCACCATTCGCCGTCGATTACATCACTTGCATCAAAGCACACCAAAAACATCAAAAAGCCATCAATTTTCAATCCCAAGCAGGCATCCGTTTTTTCTCCAGATAGCTGGAAGCTATAGGGGTTCTTGCTTCTCAATGGATGGGTTCCGGATTGCGGAAATTGGCTGCCGCTGCCGCCTTGTCTCCCAAGCTTGTCTCCCTTCATGATTTCGCTTTTGGCTGCCGCTGCCGGCTTGTCTCCCAAGCTTGTCTCCCTTCATGACTTCGCTCTTGGCTGCCGCTGCCATCTTGTTTCTCCAGCTTGTCTCCCTTCACGACTTCGCTTTTGGCTGCCGCTGCCGGCTTGTCTCCCAAGCTTCTCTCCCTTCATGATTTCGCTCTTGGCTGCCGCTGCCGTTTTGTTTCTCAAGCTTGTCTCCCTTCATGTTTTCGCTCTTGGTTGGCGCTGCCGCCTGGTCTCCCAAGCTTGTCTCCCTTCATGATTTCGCTCTTGGCTGCCGCTGCCAGCTTGTCTCCCTTTATAACTTCGCTCTTGGTTGCCGCTGCCACCTTGTTTCCCAAGCTTGTCTCCCTTCATTGATTCATGATTTCGCTCTTGGCTGCCGCTGCCAGCTTAGCTAGTCTCCCTTCCTGATTTCGCTCTTGGCTGCCCCCCTGCCGCCTTGTCTCCCAAGCTTGTCTCCCTTCATGATTTCGCTTTTGGCTGCCGCTGCCGGCTTGTCTCCCAAGCTTGTCTCCCAAGCTTGTCTCCCTTCATGACTTGGCTGCCGCTGCCATCTTGTTTCTCCAGCTTGTATCCCTTCATGACTTCGCTTTTGGCTGCCGCTGCCGGCTTGTCTCCCAAGCTTGTCTCCCTTCATGTTTTCGCTCTTGACTGTCTCCCTTCATGTTTTCGCTCTGCCGCCTGGTCTCCCAAGCTTGTCGCCCTTCATGATTTCGCTCTTGGTGGCCGCTGCCGGCTTGTCTTCCTTTATAACTTCGCTCTTGGCTGCCGCTGCCGCCTTGTTTCCCAAGCTTGTCTCCCTTCATGATTTCGCTCTTGGCTGCCGCTGCCGCTTGTCTCCCAAGCTAGTCTCCCTTCCTCATTTCGCTCTTGGCTGCCGCTGCCGCCTTGTCTCCCAAGCTTGTCTCCCTTCATGATTGCGCTTTTGGCTGCCGCTGCCGGCTTGTCTCCCAAGCTAGTCTCCCTTCCTCATTTCGCTCTTGGCTGCCGCTGCCGCCTTGTCTCCCAAGCTTGTCTCCCTTCATGATTTCGCTTTTGGCTGCCGCTGCCGCCTTGTCTACCAAGCTTGTCTCCCTTCATGACTTCGCTCTTGGCTGCCGCTGCCGTTTTGTTTCTCCAGCTTGTCTCCCTTCATGACTTCGCTTTTCAAGCTTGTCTCTGTTCCTGATTTCGCTCTTGGCTGCCGCTGCCGCCTTGTCATTTTCTTGCCTACCTTTGACGCGGGTGCTGTTATAAGATGATTTAGGTCTTGTTTACCTTTTCCATCCTTTTCCCGGCTTTGAGTGGGATGTCTCCCAGGCTTGTCTCCCGCTCTTGCCATGGTGTCCAACTTTTCTTGAAGCGCTATCTGGGGTCTATGCCGGTATAATTCACCAAACAGGTTTACCTGTGAGGGGTTCTTACTCCTTTTAAA